TATATATATATATCTCACAATTTGTATTTCTAGTAATTATCCTTATCTGAAATCCTTTAGGATTTTTGAAAATTTCAGGTCTAATGAATGAAATACAGGTGTAGTGTGCATAAAACACACGACAACATTCCCACCCGAGGCAGGAGCAGCCCCACACAGCCCCCCGCATTCTTAGCTCTGCATGCGTGCACACACACATACACACATTGAATAGGAGAAAGACTAAGCCGGGCCTCATCTCGTGTCTGGTTTTTCAACTAAGCGTTTTTCAAGTTTGGGGCTTTAGCGTTTTGGGCATGTACAGATAAAGGACTAAAGTCTTGAGTACATGAATTTGGAGAATTCAACAAGTCACAATGACAAGCCAGAGAGTTGAGAATATCCAAGAGAAGCAATGCAGCTGCAGAAGCCAGCCACAGAGACACCAGTAACAGGAAGACAAGAACAAAACAAATCAACTCCCAAGAAATTGCTCCAGGAAAAAAAGAAGAAGAATGAAAACCAACATCAGTAGCACCAAGTATGCATTGTAGCCAAGTGCATAACAGCACATGAACAACCCCGGGGGCCTCCCCAGCCCCACCATTTCCTAGAGTGAAGGATATTGCTAGCAGGGAGGACTATGACAGTATCCCGCATACTGAGACCAAAGAAGCGGGCCAGAGAAGGATGCTCATTCACACGACTCGTCCAGCGGTGGAAGCAGAAGCCAAGTAACTGGAGCTGACTCACTGGCCCCCGAGCCTCTGGAGATCGCACACTCGCCCCCTCCCTCCCTCCCTGACTGGGTTTTCAGGGAGCTCCTTCTCCTACCACCCTCAAAGAACACTGGAGGAGTTGCTCGTCACCAAGAGTTGAAAAATTCTGCTTCAGGTCAATCTCAGTAATGTGTTGGGTCCATCCAATCACTAACCATTTTTAAGTAACTTGCACTTAATAATGAAGAAAAATTTATATAAAGAAATGAGGGGGCTGGGGCTGGGGAGATGGCTCAGTGGAATAAGCGCTTCCCTGGCAAGCACAAGGGCCTGAGTTCAATCCCCAGTACCGCAAAAAAAACCAAAAAACAAAAAAAAAAAAAAAAAAAAAAAAAAAAAAAAAAAAAAAAAAAGAAAAAAGAAAGAAAGAAAGAAAGAAAGAAAGAAAGAAAGAAAGAAAGAAAGAAAGAAAGAAAGAAAGAAAGAAAGAAAGAAAAAAGGAATAAATGAGGGGGGAAACAAAGGAGAAAAGAAAAAAGAAATGGATACAAAATACAGTGGCTTATGGGAAAGAACTATGTATACAATGTAACTTTTAAATCTCGTGAAGATCTAAAATTGATAGAAATTTATTTATCTGGGAGATTAGTTTAGCAGGCTAGTATAAAATCAACACCTATATATATAGTACATCTATGATTAGAAGGTTTGTGACTGATTTCCACCCATATACTAAAATTTACCTTTCAAGTCTATTGATAACAAATTATATTAATTTCATTAATCCAGCATTTATTCCGTAGCATTCTAGAGCAGAGCAGAATAATAAAAGTTTCAACACAGAAAGGAGCAAAGTAAGTTGTGATGGTCTCCTACCTCTGCTCGACCCTCATAGTAGGTTAACACAGACTTCGTAAGAACAAAAAGTCTCTCTTTATAATTTAAGGGTGATGTCTTCTTCTTCTGCTGTGACCTTTTAATAAGAATCTCTTCCAGAATAGTGTTAAAACTCATCTCGGTCTCCTGATCGCTGTTTCTCCTGCCATCGAAGATCCCAGTATCCTAAAAGAAGAAAATAAACAGTGAAAATATGACATTTTAATTTCCCAGGATGTTGCCATTTCAAGTTACCAACACAGGCCTGTGAGTGCTTCTCTCTCTCTCTCTCT